CTTTCCTTAATCCGGCCGGGAACCCAGAAAGGAAGTGATCGGGTGGCAATTGTAGATCCGATCGGGGGGTCTAGTTTGGATCTTCCCAAAGTCAGAGGGTGGCTTCGAGATCGCTCTCTCGGTCGAGCTTGGTGAAGACATCGCGTCCGTAGCGGTTGAGATGTTGGGCGAGAGCGCAGGGCCCAACATTCACAGCTTCCTCTAATCCGGTGAAGAACGCGTAGATCAGGGGAGGCTGCTCCTCCTCCTCCACAGGTAGTTTGGGTTCTTGCATATGCAAGTCCCAAAACTGGTCAACGATGAACTCGAGGTTGCCAAAGGTGATCTTCTCGCCCGGCTGCATCCTCTCCACGGCGTCGTCGATGTTGATAATGATTCCTATCTGAAACACAATATTAATCTGAACGCGAAAGGCCCCTACCTGGTGCACAACTATTGGATTGTTTAGCTTCGGCAATGCCTAGCAACGTTATCACGTAGATTGACTAGATGGTTGCACACGAGACAGAGATTTATACTGGTTCGAGCCCCCCGAGAAGCGAGTAAAAGCCATACGTCCAATTGCTACTTCTTCTTGTATTCGTATGCTCGGTTACAGGGGTTGTTGCTCCTAGCTATGAGGTAGATTGGAATGAGGCAATGGTGTCATGGTGGACGTGATGACCGTAGAGCCCTTACCCCTCTTTATATAGGCAAAGGGGTAGTGTTACAATGAGGGCGATCGGCGCTACAGATTGGATTCCTAGTTGGTTACAACAAATCAATTCTATCCTACCATAGCTGTGATGGCGGCAGATATCCTTGATACATTGTGATCTTCAAGTTGGTAGTTGCGCCTAGTCCTCGCAGGCTTCCTCCTCGGTCGTCCTCCGTTGATGGGCTAGATATATGGTCAGTGAGGGTACCCCGGGCCCATATCTCTGACACTAAGGAATTGGGTTGAGATACAGTTGCTATTATTTCATCTTCCACCTTAATAGGCACCTCTGACTCACTATCATCAATCGGTCCTAGAGCATCTAAAATTCCTTCCAAGACATGAAGGGGTACCTGAGCAGCACATTTGTGGTTGTTGCTCCACTTGGCCCCACATTTGAAACACAAACCATTCTTCCTTCTCAATTCTCTTAGAGCGGCCAACTACTCTGACCCTCTCCTTTCCCCTTCTCAGATTCAGACACCCTGGTCTTGTCATAGCTTGACTTGACTTTTCCCCTGGAATAGCCTCCAAACTTGCCCTTGCTTCTAGCTAGTTCTTCTTGAAGCAGGGCCAATGCACTGGCAGTGTTGACATCGATAGTCTTGTGCAAGGATATGACTGAACGAATCTCCTCCTTAAGGCCATCCACAAAACGAGTCACAAAGTAAGTATCATCATAAGCATCATTGTACAACAGAAAGAAGCAAGCTTCTCAAATTCGAGCTGGTACTCCTCCACCGAATCTTTCTGCCTCAGCTTGTCAAACCGCTTCAACAAGAGTTGGTATTGATTCCTATCAAACTTGTTCATCACAAGATCACAGAGCTTATCCCAATCGGTGATGCGCCCATTTCTCCGAATCGTCTAAAGCTAGGACGCAACAACTCCTTTGAAATTCAGGGTAGCGAACCGTGTCTTTAGAGACGGATGCATGGCGTACACCTCGAAGAAAACCTCGCATTGATCGCGCCAGAGGCGAGGGAAATCACCATCAAATTTTGGGAACTCCATTTTTGAAAACGGAGGTGAACGACAATTTGCGGCAGGCTCATCCTCAATTGAAACGAATGGAGGAGGTTTTGGGTTCGCGAACATACCCTTGTCACAGACCTGCGGCCGGGTCCTAGGATCCCACCATAGTGCTCGTCGTGCCCCTTGGGCCGCTCCCCGTCCCTCACAGGTGAGCATGAGGATGATCTGGGAGCAAGGTTGAGGTCCATCGGCCTCGAAGCTGGTGGAGGGTGAACCGGCGATGCGGTTGTGGGAGCCATCGTCAGCCATGCCTCAAGAGTGTCCATGCGCGACATGGCGAGATCAACCTGCTTCGTGACCGCCTCAAAAGATGAAGAAGTGCCCTCCACCCGCTGGCATAAATCACCGAACACCTGGTCTGCGGTCGCCTACCACGCCCCCATGGCATTGACCGAGTCTAGAGAACTCTGCATCATCATCTGAAAACCTGTGAACTGCTTCATCATCTTCTCGAACAGAGACGCGAGCTCCTCAACGGACTTGGCCATCTCCTGCTAGAACTTGGTGGGATTCCGCTTTAGCGCCAGAGTGAGGATCTACCTACGCCGCACGAACAGCCCGTGATCACCACCGACCCACTCAACCAAAACACGGACCTCTAAAAATCGCGAGTTCAACGTCGAAGCAGAACCCCAATTTCCGCCGTCTGGAATTACGAGCGTGATCTAGGAGGAGAATCATGACGGCTTTGATACCAATTGTCATGAATCAACTGGGATTCGGACGGATAACTGGAGATAGAAGTGGATTGGGGAGCAGCAGGAGTCAAGTAGAGAAGCAAGAACAGCAGAGGACTAGGAACATAGCTCAATTCAGTTAGGTTCAGGGTTCAATTGTTCGATGCCGACCTCTGTCAGTTACAGGGCGTTTTATACGCCATCAAGCCACGCCGTTACAAACGGTAATCAACCGACTTAAGAATCTAAGCCAATCACCTAACGGAGTCACTACCACGCGCTCTCAGTAGATGTCGTCGCTGTGACAGGTGTTGTCGGACGACCAACAGTAGTGGAACCCTTCCTTGCTGCCTGCTTCTTGTATACTCTGACATGAGCGTTCACTCTAGACCAGATTTTTGGTCGGGTCGTACGGTCTTCGGTCCAAAACCAAGCTAACTGAGCTCGCCTCGCCGATCTAGAAGCTTCCAGCAGCAGAAGGAAGGGCAAGCATGAGATGATGAGATGGGAGAGAGAGAGAGTGGGATGGTGGCAGCTGAATATTGTAGACCAGCCGAACGGCTGGTCCTCACCTAGGTCACGGGGTCCAACCAGCTCCAGCCGGTTCAGCCGCAAACTCGACCAAAATTAACGAGGCCTAAGAAAGAAGAGGGACAATGGAGAGGAAAGACTGCAGGACAATGATGATTGCTAACAAGGAACGGCCTGGCATCGAGCCGACGAATCCACGATAGCAGGAGTGGAGTCTAGGACTAAGGAGCCTCTACTAGACATGGTGATGACTGGGTAGGACCCAAATAAAACAATAGAAACTGATAATAATGTATTCTCTGATTTTACTAGCGACAATAAATTAGATTTTAGTGGTTTTAAAAACAGGGAAGGATGGGTTTCATGATTCTTTCTTGCTAACTACAAATAGGTGCTTTTTGTTTGTCATTTATTTGCTAGCAATAGGAACAGTTGGTGGTGTTTTAGCATGTTTATTAAGTTGAGATTTTAGACTGCCAATTGCTTTTTGGTGTGTCTACTATATATTATAAAAAAATGTAAACTCACTCCTATTCTCCGGAAAAGTGTATTTTCACTTCACCATAAATCAAACATTTTTCACTTTGACCATATATATATATATATATATATATATATATAATATTTATTATGGATGATAAATACCATTAAATTGATAATTGAATGTGTTTTTATGATAAACTTATTTTTAGATATAAATATTGTTAGTATTTATTATAAATCTAATTAAATTTAAGAAAGTTTGGTCGAAACAAACTCTAAACGATGTTTTTTTAGACATAGCGAGTATTTCGTAGGGAGACTACCTGATCACCGCATGGTACCAAAGTCAGAGGACCCACCCGTGTCCTGTGTCCCACACTCCCACACAGAAACACACCACTGTGCTAGAGTAGAGGTTAGGAATAACTGGATGGGCAGATGGCCGGGTCGACCGACCTCTCGCGCTGCAGGAGCCCCCACTCACTATCCCATTCCCATTGGTGCTGCAGCCAGTAACAGCACCCCTGCACCTGCGGCCGCGGATCGGCGGATGATCGTCGCTGGCTCGCTGCTGCGCCTGTCGTCCCCCTCCACCTCCATCTCCGACGCTTTCGGCCAGTTACCTCGCAGGCTCGGTCGCCCTTGTGCAATGCGATCTGCAACCTCAACCTCCACTCGCCTGCACAAAGCCGCGATCTTTCCGCCCGCCCATCCGCAGGCCGCAGCCATCTTTTAGGTCGCTTGCTGTTGCTGTTGCTGCTGGCCAGTACTACTACTACATACATGCATCATGCACGCGAGAGCAACCGGTCGGCGGCGACGGTGCGCGCTGCCTCCGGTAGTGGGCGCCGCTCGTGCTGCACTAGTAGCACTGGTCACGATCCCATCGTCCTGCCTCCTCCTGCGCCCGTGTGCGTCGACCCAGCCGTAGGTCCCTAGGGTGATAGGTACGCATGCTAGCGCTGCAGATCGAAATGGCACTGCACTATAATGGCACTGCACTATAGCGCGCGCGGCGCGCACTGCTCCACCTCCAGAGCGTGCAACTGTGCCGTGCGTGCGTGCCGCACCACTGCGCCAGCACCCAGCACCCAACAAATGGCTGTGAACACTGTACAGCAATGAACAGTTGTACATGTGCAGCTTCGCGCAACCAGCACCCAACAAATGAGCCCGTGAACAGTTGCACTGTGTGCTAGCTCTGCTTTTGCTCTGTCTTAACCTGTGGACTGTGGTGGTGATGACTAGAATAGTGAGTGGTTCGGAAGGTCGCTCTTCTGCATGCGAATCATAGTTGACCTTGTGCTGGGAGGACCATATTGGCTTTCGTTTTCATGGCTAGCCCGTAGAGGCAGAGCAGATGCAGATCACTGGGGGCACGGCACAGGGCACACTATTGCAAAAGCTTGGACAATTGGTGTGCCCTTTCCTTGCTTTCCAGCTGTAGGAGCAGCGCATCGTTTCGTCGTATATAAAGGGACCATTGCTACGTTTCAGCTCCTCGCCACAGTTGACAGTCCTGAGCTGCATAAGGAAGGAGACTCTGCCGGCTCACGGCGCTGCTTAGTAGACCAATAATGCCTAAGCTCAGGTTCATCTTCACCGTTATCCTTGTGGTGTTTCTATTGTTCAGTGCATCTTCAGGTACGCCTCTTCACAGTCTGTTTCCTTGTGTTAGATGTGTATTTCCCTTGACGGTTAGTTAGTCGTACATGATTCCTGTCTGTTTGAATGCAGGACGAACTACAACTACACAAGCCAATGATGCAGATCGTTTTGAAGTGATTGAGGTCCGTATATGCTATTCTTGGTTGAAACAGTCTGACAGAAATAAGAACAATTGGTTTTACCTTTTCCTTACATTAATTAAAGAAAGTGAAATCGTGTTTAAGAACCATCATTGGAGGCTAATTGGTTTGCCTATGTTTAGTTTCTTTAGCGAGAAGTTTTTTTTTTTTTTTTTTGAAAGATCACCGGGCTGCCTGAATAATTTTCCACTGAATATGGAGGGTGCAGAGCGCCTCTTTATCTAGAAGTTGACTGAAACTAACTAGCTGTTGGGGAAATATAAATAGTAGCTAGACCTATTGTTTGAGTTTTTTTTTGCCTCTGATAGGAGGTCATACAAATTCTGTGACATGTGCTCTTCTGAATTTTTTTGAGGAGCAGTAGAGTACAGGAAAGCTGATCCTATGTGATCATGCTGTTCTAGACGTTTTGTTTCGGTTCTGTTATTATTATTATCTTTTTAGTGAAAGCTTTAGCTGCTTTTATAGAAAGCATATAGTATTTGCTACAATTCAGTCAGTGGACTATTATTATTTGTTTGGATAAAAAACTCTCCAAAGACTTCCCTGTTCGCTTGGCTGATAAGCCATGGCTGAAAATACCGTTGGCTGATTTGTTGTGAGAGAGAAATACTATTCATTGGCTAAAAATACGGCTTATAAACCAAGGAAAGAGGGCGTAGATATTTTAAAATGACAGTTCCACCCTATTCACTCACCTTTCCCCAAAACGCAGAGACGCAGCGGGAGGGTTCTGACGGACGTTCAGGATTACGACTACGGTGGGTCCAACCCCAAACATGATCCACGCAGGAAGCCAGGGAATGGACACTGATCACGTTACTTCCAAGTTCCATCATCCTGCATGGCCAAGAACAGGATAAACGTCTGGTGACTGATGACACTCTGGTGTCACTGGACTGGTATCTAATCTTGCTGAGTTCATGTAATGAGTAGAATCAGAATGGTTTGATCCCATGCATGTATACACCTAAGTCACTTTATTATTATAAGGGAAAAACTAAGGCTAGCCAGTTGTGTTGTTCAGATGAGATAGCTTTTTAGATATGGAATAAAGATTCAGAATGTTCTGTCAGTTGAGTCACCAGACTTTCTAACTGCTGTGCTGATGGCTTCTCAAACCATGTATGAAATGTCTCTTCGATTCTCTCTCACGCAGCCTCTAATACTGTTCTCAGCGGGATCGCTGTAAAAAAATTTGGACCTATTATTGTTGTGCGCCACCTGATTACCCTGAGATGGGTCTGCCTGACGCCATAGATTCAGAAAGAGCACTCTAATTTCAGGACAACTGTCTCTGAAATTCGTCCGTATCTTCCAGGTGACGTGCTAAATGTTAGATTGTCTCATATCACTATCCACCCTGTTCGCTTTGCTGAAAATGATAATTCAGTGTTCCAAAGGGGAAAAAAACTCCACTATTTCTAAAAAAAAAAGGGGAACTCTCAGAATATCTGAAATCTGGAGGCTGGAAACGGTGCTACGTCGTTTGCTGCTGATCGGCTCAGCGCAACTGGAGATTAGATACAGAACTGTACCGGTGCCTTGTCCTTGTACCATTTCGCTTCTCCTTTTCCGAAATTTTCTAGGAGTTGAAGCTCTAACAGCCAGCAGCAGCCTTTTCTATTCCACTTTGAAATATTCAAACAGCGCCCTTTATTACGCTATATTTCTGACGATATATTGCCCTTTAAACGCACTCTTCCTCTCTATTAATATATGCCGGGCAGCTGCCGGTGGTTTCAAAAAAAAAAAATCTGTGACTTCTTTTTTTTGAAACTATTTCTGTGACTTCTACTCTGATTGCAGAGGAAGAATGGCAAGCATCAGCATTGGTCAGGGTCAAACGAGACGGCTTCAGCCTCAACCTCCAGTACCTCTATGATAAGCTCTATCTAGCCTGGTACCTGGTCATCCTGCGTTTGGTTCGAGGACGAAGTTGGATGGGATATGTGGATCCATGGATATTAGGATAAGGATATGCACGATGCATGTTTAGTTGGATGGCTGGGACGAGTTATTTTTCTGTTTAGTTGGATGGATGAAAGTGGATGGGATAAGAATAGTTGACTAATTATATCTATTATTTAAAAACAATAACAACTAATTAGACACTAATAAATCTACACTAATACTAATTTTGTCATAATAATCACTAATTTAAAATAAATATGTTAATTAGCACCATTAATAACCTAATTAGCACATGAAACATGCACTAATCAATGTATTATCATTTATCAAAACTAATCCTACCATCATAATTATTAAGTAATAATATAACATATAAATAATCTTTAATTTATTTACTAATGACAAAGATTTGAACACATGGATAAACTGGTCCACAAGATTTTTACAAACCAAAAAATCTAGCATCTTGTGATATAATCCCTATCAAGGATTTTCTTATCTCAATAATCTACTAAATCAAACACTGAATATCCATGGATGGTCTTATCCCATGTATGCCGTGAGTCTGTGACTAAGCTCCTCGCCAGCCTCCGCACAATTGAAGAATACTACTATCGTAAATAAATATACTGTATTAAGTAAGGCGATGGTTGAGGGATCGATTAGCCTAGCCCGGCCAAACGCGTGCCTAGTTTAGGATTTAGGACGAAAAAGAACGCAAATAAAAAAAAAATATCCAAAGGTGTGCCGTGTGCTGCTATGTTATACCACAACACAATACACAATGTCATCATGTAGTCGGTAGAGCCACTGACTCGTTCCGTGCTCTCCTCGTTCATTCTCCATGCTCACCTTGTGGAAAACTTGCTCCACGGCAAGGGTTCCATCATGTCAGCACAGGTCGGCCTCGCCACCGTCAAAGCCTCAAAGGCAGGTTCCATCCCATGGCCTCACCAATCGATTTGGCCGGAGGAGAGCTTCAACTTGGGCACCGCTTCGGCACGGGTTCCCATAGAAAACCCGGGCCCCGGGCTGGGCAATTTTGCTCACATGACTAAATGAACGCATTTTCGTGTATAAGATGGCCCAGATCCTTTATTATTATTAATTAACACAATGTTACATCACCACTTGCAATCTTTTGGGGGTGGATGTACAATGCCCTTTAGGCGGTTGAGCACACATGACTTCCAGTCGGTTACTACTGCAGCCAGGCAGAACTTAGTTTCAAACATTATTATTACTGGAAGAGAACCCTGCACAGTTGCGCGGGCTAGAAAGCTAAGGTCTTGTTTAGTTTCAAAAAGTTTTTTTAAAAAGTGCTACAGTAGTCATCACATCAAATCTTGAGTCTATGATTTAACAATGTTGGAGCATTAAAATGTGCTAAAGCGGATTAAAAAACTAATTGTCTCGTAAATTAGTCTCCATGGGAAATTAGCGATAATTAACGTTGTTTGAGCCTAATTAGTCCATGATTGAACACTAATTGCCAACTAAAAACGAAAGTGCTACAGTAACCAAATTCCTAAATTTCACCCAACTAAACGCATAATACATGAGTTTGGTCATGAAAACAGTAGAATACATTAAACCCCACACCATCCCGGATGATGGTCGACGACGTCACTGAGAGACAGATTGGGGATGGTGGATGGAGTGGGTACGGGCGAAGAGGACAGGGCCAGCTGAGGTGGCACGTAGCAGAGGGCTGCAAACAATTTTTTTTTGAAAAAAAAAACATTTAGACCAATAAGCAAAAATGCAAATACAGTCAAAGCATATGTAGTATGCCTATTTTTGTGAAGGTCATCTTGCAGTAACAAACCTGTTTGCAGCATGTAAGAATAAATCTTGCAGGTAAGAGCTCAGAAGGACACTCAAATTAAATTAGCAAACCTCATTAACCTCTGCTCTTGTATCTCAAGATAGTGGCCCTGTTCGTTTGGAGGAATTTAGAGAAATCTAGATGAATCTAGAGAAACTTGTGAGAGCGTGAACAGTGTTTTTCATCCGCGCACAGTGAATTCCGGCTGAAATTGTGAGCAGCCGAACGGCCCCGGTGAATACAGCATAGGCACATCAGAAACCTAATTTGTACTTTTGATGAAGTCCTTGACAGTGCTTTTAGAAAATTCTACCTACACCTGCACATACAAAACACAACTGTGAGGACAACATTTTGTCAGTGTTCAAAGTTCTCATTATCAAGAAACTATTTGAGGAATATGTATTTATATAAGAAACTTCATTGAGGAATATGTACCATAGTGTGAATCACTGTTGCTATGCTAAAATTCAAGAAAAAATGTTGGCAACATCTAATGAAAATAGTTGTCCTCTATAAAAAGGGCGTATCCAGTGCAGAGAGCTCCCGCTCTGTGCGGGGTCTGAGAAAGAGTGTCAGTGGCAAGCCTTATCCTCGCCTGTGCAATGCGAGGAGACCGCGACTCGAACCCGGAACCTTCCGGTCACACTACCGCTTGCACCAGGCCCGTCCTTCATAGTTGTCCTCTATGAGTACAACAATCAGGGAGGCGCGCTTGGCCGCGCCGCAGTGGCTACACGCTTCTATATGTGTTTGTGCTTTTGAGGTGCTACTGTAAGTCTCTACGGCAAGGTAATGTGTACAGCATAGTGAAGCACTGCTTTATGGCAACTCAAATGTACATTAGTTATACGTCTACCAATATCGCAACACAAATTGCATGCCTTTAGGAGAGCAGAAAACAGTTCGCAAACATTATGGCTTGAAAGGTTATATGTCAATGGCAAGTATGATCTTTTAAAACAATTAAACATTCTTGGTTAATCAAAGTTTGGATGAGCAGCTCAGCTCATTAGAAATAATTTGAACATCAGTGGGGCTGGCACTGACAGTAGAGATACATCAACATCATCAGTAGAATTGATCGAATGGTACAGGAAACTTTGAAGAAAGAAGAATAATTCAATTTTATCAGGTAATGGAGGAGGTGAACTATCTGCTTATTGTGTATATTTCTAATGGGAGTTCATATTGCCCAAACCAAAAAAAAACTTATAATAACTATAGAATAATAGGATTGATCTTGGGAGTAATTTAGTGGTCTGACAATTTCATAAGTTATTTTCCCTGACAAGACTAAATTGCACCAAATTTGGGGATATGAAAGGTAGATATCAGCTTGTGGGCCATAACCGGTTGTTCAGCTGATTTACACATAGGTGCTGAGCAAGGCTGCAAAAAAATTAGAGATAAATAAAGATAAGAGTACCAATAGTGATGGCTTCCGCAAATTAGAGGTATCACATTCTTTTTCCTATCTTGAAACTAATTGCAAAATATAGGATTAAGACTCAAATGAGAAGTACATACGACTACTCACCTGCTAGCATTCCGAGTTGATCTCATTGCTACTGAATATGAAGATCTGTTAAGCATGGAAGATTGAGTTTGTAGTGTGACTGTGTGAGGGAAGCGACATAGGTAGTTAAGCACCGACATGGACTCGCCAGCTGTGTCCATATAGAAGAATATAATAGCATTAACCAAGAAAACTATACAGTACTTCGAGAAGGAAATTTTCTTCTTGAAACTGACTACCAAGTCTGCTAAGTTAGGTGCATAAGATGAGGAAGATCTCGTGCCAAACTGCCTACCAAGTCTTCAAAGGACAAGTTTATTTTGGATTTTATGTGACAGCACAAGTGAATGCCTTCCGTTTCAGCATGTTGTATGTGGCTTCTGCCGGTGTTTCAGCAGGTGTCGAGCTCTTGGTGTCTTCATTACGTCTTCGTTTCTATGTTTTGAAACAGCCACGGATAATCATACGATTCAACTTAAAATGGTAAACAGGAAGTTTGATTGCCCAAAAGTGTTCCTTACTTTCTTCTTTCCCTCGTCCACAACAATCCCTCTAGCTGCCAATTCAGCTGCCAAAGCTTCCTTGGCTGCTTGTTCCAGTAAACATAAAAAAGCAGATAGTTGCATTCTCTAGTCAAGATGAAAAAATGCGACCATATATGGAGTTACTTACCTCAAGGTATTCTTTGTTCATTTCCTCCCAGATAATCTTTTTATATTGTCTCTCTTCCTCATTATGAAGGTACCAATCAACCTATCAAAATTGATAGATAGCATCGCAACAAATTGCAAAGGCTTGTTTGGTTATCACTACACCTCTAACGACTTGTGCAATGGAATAATCCTGAAAATTATGATAAAAAGGACTCATTGAGAAAGCACCTCTACATCGTCGATGTCAGAAAGGCTTTCTGGATCAGCATTGCCTTCACAATTTTCACCTAAGGATGTAAGATAGCACTCAGCTTTCAAAGAAGGATTCAAAACAGGAAAACTGAAATTACTGCAGCGTATGATGGGTTCAGGAAGTAACAAACCTCCCTCTTCAGGATCCCTGGGCGGCACAGAGTCATTTATGGGTTCCCCAGACCCAATTGTTGAAGATTTATGTCCGCTTAAACCCTGTTCGAAGTGTGTTCCCAGAGAACAGAAAAAGGTGAGAAATAAGCACAAGAGTTGTAACATAAAAAGCTAATCGAAGAGATAACATGTCACAATGCCACACATCACAAAATTCAGAAACAAAAATAGATTATGCACCATTTAATAATCCTTCTATAATATTCATACAACGGTACTTTTGTTTGGGGTCTAAATGGTCCAACCCAGTGGTGCCAAATGAATTTGTTACCCGGGTATACATATTTAATAGAAATCATGCCCTGGGCAGAAAATGGAAAGAAGTTCATAAAATAAAAGTGAAGTTTTAAAATATCCCAAAACATCTCACATGTAGATTCGGTAACGTTGCTCTTGCAAGTCACAAACTTTCGAGTCTGTATCCGACGTCGAAGCAGCATCCGACGGCTCAAAGAAACTTGCCTCACCTTTTCACGCTGAGCCCCCCACGATGAGCCGCTGCAGCCGCCGCCCGCTGCCCTTCCGCACCTCGCGCCTCCATCGCCCAAGTCCTACACCGCGCGCCGCGCCGTGCCGCTGCAGCCGTCCGGCACCGCGCGCTGCGTTGTTGCAGCCCTCCTGCGCCGCGCCACCACCGCCATCCTGTGCCGGAAGAGCGATACTGGACCACGCGCTGGAGTTGTCAGTCGTGACTGCGGCAGCCTCGCTGGCAGGCCTGGAGGCTGACCTCATGCTCTTCCTGCTGTTCGCCGTCGTAATGAACCGAACCAGTTCATCCGTGGTCGTCCGGGCCTCCTCCCTGCTGCGTCCCGTTGGCGGCGTGCGAGCGGGAGGTCTGCGGCCAGCGCGGCAAGCGTGCGCAACTGGCGTGGCGATCTCGCGGCCAGCGCGTGGGGTGGCGTGGCGAGTGGTCGGCCGGCGTGTGGGCACAGGGCACGGCGAGTGGGCGGCCATCGCAGGCACGACATGCGGCGAGCGCGTGAGACCGTCGCGGAGGGCTGCACAGCGAGCGGCGGCCGTCGCAGACATGGGATGCGGCGAGCGAGCGCCGCCATCGCGGAGGGCGGCGCGGCGAGCTTGCGGCCAGCACCGTGCGTGCACGGCCAGCGCGGAGGGCGTCATGGCGAGCGGGCGGCCGGCGTGGGCACACGGCTTGGCGAGCGGGCGGCCGTCGCGGGCACAGGATGCGGGCGGGCCATGCGCGTGCCGTGACTGCGGCAGCCGGCAGACCCGGACCGGAGGCCATGCTCCTGCAGTCCTGCTCTCCCTGCGCCTGGCCGGCGGCCGCCGAACTAGCTCCTCCGTGGTCGTCCGGCCATGATGCGTCCCATTGGCGGCGCGCTACACAGGAGGTCTGCGACGGCTGGGCGCGTCGCAGGAGAGCTGGCGGCGTGAACGCGTGGACGAACGGCGGCGCGGCCGAGTTTCTCCATCATCTCACCGGAGCTGTGGAGCATGACGAGGGCGATGCGGTGACCTTCAGGGCCAAGCGACGCGGGGGAGAACGACCGGGGCGATGCGGTGGAGCTTCGCGGCCGAGTGCCGAGGCGACGCGCTGGCCGGACAGCCGACAGGGCGAGCTGGACAGCAGCGAGGCGCGAGACAGCGCGAATGCATCTCCTCCCGGCTGCCTTCCTCTGTTCCTCACGCGACGCTATTTTTGCCTTGAATGGCTAAGAGGCCTTGGATCGGCATTGAACGCACAGGATGACGCGAAAAAGTTACGGCGTGACTTTACGAAGCAAAGTCACTGAATCCTGATCCCAACCGCCGCTCGTCTCCCTCGTTCTCCTCCCCAACCCCTCCCACCCACGAGTCCGAGAGCGAGAGCGAGAGCGAAGGCGAGGGCGAGCGCGAGCACGAGATCCAGATCCGCGTGCAGATCCATCGCCGGGGGGCCGACATGATCCCGACGCGGCCCGCGCAGGCGTCGTTCCGCGATCGCACCAACGAGTTCCGCGCCGCCGTCGAGAGCGCGCGCCGCCGCGCCGCACCTTCCTCGTCGTCCGCCCCCGCGGCGGCGAGCAGCAGCTCCACCGGGACCCTCGATGGGTTGATCGCGGCCACGTCGGCTCGCTCGGAGTTCAACAACCGCGCGTCCAAGATCGGGCTTGGGATCCACCAGACCTCCCAGAAGCTAAGCCGCCTTGCCAAATGTATGGCCTCCGTCCTATTCCTTCCCGTGCTTCCGGATTCGTCTCGCGCGTTGCTTCAGATTAGCTAAACTGCTAGTCGAGATCTCGGGACGCGCGTCGTGTATAGGATGCTAGGCTAGAGATTTACTCTGTAGGTAGTGATTGCTAGGTGTTTGTGCTTGTGGTTAGCTTGGGAATATCATGGCACTTTTGACCTGTACTGTTTGCATGATGTTTAACCGAATATTTTCTGCTATATTCCGTTTGATACTACAGTGTGATGTGCTCAGTGGCGGAGCTGGTGAATTTTGACGCCTAGGGCCACTATCTAAGTGAGTGAATCACCAGCACCGGTTTTACAGGCTTAAATACTCTATAGATAAGAAAAGCAACAAAGAAAATGCATAATCAACAAAAAAAACTGGATATAAAAGTAGTGAAGGATATACATGTGTTTCCATCTTTATGAATCAAGAGATCCGCAATGTACAGCATTGATTCATCCAATCTTAATAAAATATACAAACGGTGCCATCTGCTATGTCAGATGCATACATGAACACACCAATGGAATTTGGGTTGATCTAGATTGGGTAGATGGATGTTTACATTGGTTCAGAGGAGGGGCGCCACCTCTTGCTGGTCTGACGACCACCAGGCCACAGCAAGACGCGCATGCTATGGACACAGGCCGCAGTGCCGCGGCTCAACCTCTAGGCGCCGTCACGGCTTCACCTCGCTCCGGCCTCCAGGAGGGGGCTGCCGGCTGCATGCCGCCGCGATGGACAGCAGCTAGTCATGCGCTAGGGGTTTGGACATTAGTGAGTGCGGAGCGCCTAGTGAGAGGCGGCGTGCGAGAAGAAAGCTGAGCGCCAGGGAAAGGGCCGGCGTACAGCGACGCAGGATGCCCCAGGCGCGAGGCCAAGCTGGGCATAACTGGGCCGCGCGACCGTGGGCTGCGAGCTTGGGCCAGGAGAATTTAAGAGGGACATAAGAGGTTTTCTGGGCCACCCCTAGGGCCGTGGCCCTAGCCCAATATCCGCCCCTGGATGTGCTTCTGTTTTCGTGGATTCGGTGATGCCATTAGCAGTTTATTAGCACCGTAATCAGCCAAAACGAGCTAAGATAACCATTCTGTGTGTCAGCTTGCTACTCTAGATGCTTCAGTGTTGCATGCTTAAATGTGGCTGCAAGTGTGTCAAACATGAACCATAGTCTGGGCAAGGTACAGATTGATTTTATATCTTCTCAATTACTTTTTTGCTACTTAATGGTTGGTGCTGTTCTGATAGCGTCAGATCTGATTTGATGCTGTTTTGATACTGGCGCTTTATTACTTCGTGTTTTAGTGCATTCATGTATCAAAACTTGTGCTTAATGGTGATGAAGAGCATTGTTGAGGAAATATGGTGATGAAGATGAATGCTATTTATCTGCACCATATCACGTCAATGAGCATTAGCTTGGTTTGCGAATAGCTTACATGACTGGACGTCCTACTTGTCCAGGCAATGTCTGAATGGGAGTCCATTCTAAATGATTTAGGTACTCTGGTCTTCCATTTGTTATGTAAAGTAGGGTAGGCTGCGAAATCTTCAGCTTTGCAATTTTCCTTGACAAAATGAGTATTTGCTTGTTGCCACTTTTTGGTTATGGGTTTATGTTCCTTGACGTGCCACTCTAACATTATGAATTTGTATTTTACTAAGTCCTTAATCATATAGTCTACGTCATTCTGACATGCTATGGTGCTGCCAAAAGATCTAATTTTGTTCATTAGTTCAGTGGCACTTGTGATGTATTATGACAAAATCTCACCAATGATATGATCACATGACTCGGAGTCTCTTATCGTGAACACTCACATATTATGCACTTATAAAGATTGCGCTATTCTATGGAACTGATATAAAATGAATGTTTGCAGTGGCAAAGAGAACATCTGTTTTTGATGACCCTACAGTGGAGATTCAAGAGTTGACTGCAGTTATCAAGAAGGATATCACGGCTTTGAATACTGCTGTTGTAGACCTACAAGCTCTCTGCAATTCACAAAATGAGAGTGGCAGTCTCTCCAAGGACACAACAAATCATTCCACTACAGTCGTGGACAACCTTAAAAATCGTCTGATGAGTGCAACAAAAGAATTTAAAGAAGTTCTTACCATGCGAACAGAGGTTAGATACAATTGTTTGTTTCCTCAATTATATAGTGCTCCTTTCTGCCCTTGTAAAGTCTTTAGCAAGATGGTTGCTTAAAACCTTTGTTTCCTTGATGTGCAGAATTTGAAGGTTCATGAAAATAGAAGGCAAATGTTCTCCTCGTCAGCTGCAAAGGACGCGTCAAATCCATTCATCCGTCAACGACCCCTTGTTGCTAGGGATCCATCAGAGTCCTCTGTGCCCCCAGCACCATGGGCCAGCGACTCTGCATCTACCCCATTATTCCAGAGGTACTGTTACACATACAAAACTCGATGAATTTGTACTTTCACCTGTCAGCAGCCGTTCAAAATCATCTTATTTCTGTCCTTTCACATGCTATGCTAGCTGTATGTTGTGTATTGGGCAGCTAACGTCTCATTTGCTTTAGTCTATTCAAAATCACCTGAGTTGTCCGCTATCATGTAGGTAATGTGGTGCAAGAGGTACTGTTCCATAAAATTTCTCATGTCTGACCAAGTACAACAACCTTCCTAATCATGTTTACAATAATTCAATGCTATGTATTGCTTGTTGCACTGCTTGATTGAGTATTTTCTAGGTTACTAGTTTGATGGAACAACCTCAAGTCCTCAATGCTTACTCATGAAATTTGTTAAGTCATGAAATTTGTTAATATACCAATACCATGCGGACACCGGTTCATTTGGTTCACATTTCTGTCTGTATTGTTATTTGAGGTCATGAATGCTGGCGCACATTTACATATTGAAATAAGACATTTCTGTCTGTATTGTTATTTGAGGTCATGAATGCTGGCACACATTTACATATTGAAATAAGCTAATCTTTGTTATTTGTTGCTTCTGTGGCGCCCTGAAGTTTATGTAAATTGGCTAGACCTACACTTTTGGCAGAATGCATCTGTTGCTTAGCCATCCATTGTTTTTGTGCTTCTTAAATTTGTGGTGCCGTTCACCAGGAAGAAGACTAATGGAGACCATGGGGCATCATCATCATCATCTCAGCCTTTTGCACAGCAGCAGCAATTGACAGTCCAACAGGACAGTTACATGCAGAGCAGAGCTGAGGCTCTTCAAAATGTGGAATCAACAATCCATGAGCTGAGCAACATATTTACACAGTTGGCGACCATGGTTTCTCAACAGGGAGAGCTAGCAATCAGGTGAACTTCATTATCCAAATTTTATTCCATCTATTGTTCAAGGTGAGCATTAGTATTAATATATCATGATCTCACCTAGAGAATCTTATGGCCTTATCAAGGAGGAATATTGTCTGAAATGTTGATAATGAATTTGAGAATTTGCTGGCTGCTTGGTTGTGTGGGTAGCTTGTAAGTAGGCACTGACACTAGCACTTGAACAGTACCTACTGCAAGCATTATAGTTAGATGGGATTTGAAATTTCTTTTTTTCTTAATAAGTAATTAGATTATGAGGATAAGGTTAAGTTAACCGGTATCCTATCTATTATTCTTGGACTTTTATCTATTTAGTTAGAAAAGTAAGGTATGGTCCATTAGGAAGGTGGAGACTGTTGTTAAGGGTCAAGACAGTCCTTGGGCACGTTAACAGTACCACGGCACTGTGGTACAAGCACGGTCAAGGAGGCCTTTAAACGGTACACTATGTGCCAAATTAAGATCAGGGGAAAAATGAACCAACTTTTGTACCTTGCTGATTAGAATCTCGTGGCATCTGTGATAAGTTTGGCATTGGTAGAAGCATATATCTTCCTGGACCTTACCCCCAAACAGCTCCTGTATTATCAGCCCACACTGCCCCTATTGTATTGCATTGGTGTGGTATTGGTGTGCCCTATTGGCTATCTTGTATTAATTGCCGTGTTGTCCATGACAGAATTGACGAGAACATGGATGACACATTGACTAACGTGGAGGGAGCACAGGGCCAGCTCCTGAAGTACCTCAACAGCATTTCATCCAACAGGTGGCTGATGATGAAGATATTCTTTGTGCTGATGGTGTTCCTCATGATCTTCATATTCTTCGTCGCTTGATCTTCTGTATCATTCTGCCCGAGATGCTCTGGCTGCTATGCATAGTATTCTTTTATTTTTACTCATACTACTGTGTGTACACAATTTTCACCCTGGATGATAAGCAATCGTTCACCCTTTTGTGGTCATGTAAATTGGGAGGAGTTTCAGTACTTATACGTTACTCTTGGGGACAACATGGTCAATCAGGGCTAGTCCGGCACCTCCTGTATTCCCATGTCCCAATTCTTGCATTGCTACACTTGCCAAAATTATCCGCAGCCTCATTTCTTCTATCTTATATATACCTCTTCTATTCCAATAGATACTACAGAACCTTTGAAGCCTGTTTGGAACATGAGATCTTTTCCCTTACGTTTTCACTACAAAACTGAACTAATTTATGTGAAATTTTCCTGTACGATTTTCTGGTCTTTGTTCTAAACAGGTCCTGAATGTTGCCCTGATCACTCTACAATTCTATGGAATAACACATTGTAGAGTGATGATTTGTAAGATTTGATTTGATGGTGTATCGGCACTACTCATCATAGTAACTGTATCTGGGATGCATCCCGTTTCGTTTTTGCTGAAAGGTGCTACCATTTTGGCAATTTCGTTGGGATTCGTGTGAGCCCACTTGATAAATTTGACGGTAACATTTTACTGCCTTGTGCAAGCTGGCGTAACCTTTTTCCAATTAGACAAACGATCACTCGCATTGCATACTGTGGATCGGTTGACTAGATGCGACAACTAATAAAAATAAAAGAGACCAAATTCTCAGAAACCATTACCCTACCCAAAGACAAAGAAAAAGGGCTAAGCTTTCGCTAGAATACTAGAACTCCGATAAAAAAAAGAAAAGAATACTCGAACTCGAGAACGAGAAGACACTGCCCACCCAAAGAAAATGTTCTGAATGACTGCTGTGAACTTCTCAAACCTCGTTTAGTTCCTCCCAAAGAACGAGAAGACAAATTTGCCCACGAATTAAAAAGATTCAGAATTTTCTGTCACAATTATTACCAATAAAAACAAAACTGCTGTGCTGACCGCCGGAATTTCGGCGGCGCCGATTCCGTGGGCGAACTAAACGAGCCCCATGTATGAAATGTCACTTCGATTCTCACGTAGTCTCTAAAATTTAATACTGTTCTCAGTGGGATCGCTGTAAAAAAAATTGGACCTATCATTGTTGTGCACCACCTGATTACCCTGAGATTGGTCTGCCTGACGCCAATGATTCAGAAAGAACACTCCAATTTCAGGACAACCGTCTCTGAAATTCGTCCGTATCTTCCAGGTGACGTGCTAAATTTTGGTTGTCTCATATCACTAGCCACCTCCTAATTCTGAACGACCAATCAGCGTTCCAAAGGAAGGGGAAAAAACTCCACTATTTTCCTAAAAAAAGGGGGAACTCTCAGAATATCTGAAATCTCGAGGCTGGAAACGGTGCTACGTCGTTTCCTGCTGCTAGGCTCAGCACAACTGGAGATGAGATACAGAACTGTACCGTTGCCTTGTCCTTGTACCATTTCGCTTCCCCGTTTCTGAAACTTTCTAGGAGCTTAGGCCTTAGATAGGCTGTTCTATAAGCCGCTTGTACTGATTTGTATGGCTGATTTGTTAGAAGAGAAAAATACTGTATCATTGTTGATAAGCCGGCTTATACGAGCAGCCGAACCGCCGGTCAGAAGCTTAAACAACCAGCAGCAACATTTTCTATTCGAGTTTGAAACACTCAAACAGAACCCTTTATATCTACGATATATTTCTGTGACTTCAACTCTGATTGCAGAGAAAGAATGGCAAGCATCAGCTCAGGTCAGGGTCAAACGAGACGGCTTCAGCCTCCAGTACCTCCATGATAGGCCGTGACTAAGCTCCTCGCCAGCCTACTATCACAGGCCGTCTCCACATGGAAAATGTTAAAGCGTGAATGTAAATAAACAAGATTTGGAGAACTATTGATTTCATTGATCTCGAAAATATATTTATATAAGTAGAGCGGTGTCACCAAGGGACATGATTGTTCCCAAAAGACATGCCCTTTGAAACTAAAATTAACTGTCTAATCATATCCACTAATCATGTGCTCGATGGATGAGATCACTCGTGAAGAGATGCCTATTCGTATATAGACGTCCGTTCGCGTATAAGTGTCGTTTCACAACACTTCCCCTTGATCGAATCTTCCTTGAGATCAATGCAGCTGTAAGCTGAAATTTCTCGAAAAACCCTATGGAAAAAAACTGAGGAATATATGATATGCCATAAAAACTCTTTTAAACCTTATTGGAAAATAAGGAGAAAATAGCATATTTATTTATGATTTAAATAAACCACTATGTCATTGGTATCTCATTTAAAACCCTAATAGGGAAAAATATTGGAGATACGACATAAAGATAACTCCCGTAAAAACCTTTTAGGAAAAATATGAGAAGCAATATAAAGTGATATGTCGCTAAAACTCCTGTAAACCCCCGGTGGGAAAATTAGGAGAAAATATGACGATATATTATTGGTATTGCCTCTTGGATAACTCACATGAAAAACCTTTTCAGGAAAAAAACCATGGATGGGTTGTGAGGGCAATATGTGTCTTTAATATTTTCCACAAAACCCCCGGTGGGGAAAATAGGAAATATGACATATGCTTAGGTTAATATTACCTCATTAAAAACTTTGACAAGAAACCTTGTAAGTAAAACTTGTAAAAGAAAAGAGTATATTATGATGCTGGTACAGGTCAACATTTAGGAGATGTCTCCCCCTGATTCTGGCAAATCTCGAAATCGCCACATACCAATTTTATGTACCAATTTTTGAAACACAGAAGTTGGTAAGGATTTAGTAAATAGGTCAGCGAGATTATCACATGTGGTGATTTGCAAGATGTTTATTTCCCCGCTTTCTTGTAACTTATGGGGATAAAACAGCTTAGGGGCAATATCCTTAGCGACATTACTCTTTATGTAACCTGTTTGCATTTATGTAACATAAGCGAAATTATCTTCATAGATAATTGTAGGTGATTTAATCGAACCAATACCACATGATTGTTGTATGTGGTTAATCATTCTGCGAAGTCATACACATTCATGTGATGCCTCGTATAGAGCAATAATTTCAGAATGATTAGTAGAGGTCGCCGTCAGAGTCTATTTAAAAGACTTCATAAAATAGTTGTACCTCCATGTAAGAATACAAATTCAGTTTGAGATGGGGGCCAGATAAGTAATCAGCATCCGTGTATCTAATCATATTGGGATCATGATTTCTCTTAAAGAATAAACCAAGATCCTTTGTGCCATTAAAGTATCTGAGGATACACTTCGCTCACGTCCAATGACGACGAGTTGGGTCCGCACTATGCCTAGCTAGTAAGTTCACTGCAAATGCGATATTAGGCCTGGTGCAATTTGCAAGATACATAAGTGCGCCAGTGATACTGAGATATGGGATCTCTGGTCCCAACATCTTTTCCCCAATATCCCGTGGTCTAAATGGATCTTTCTCTATTTCTAAGGAACGAATAACCATCGGAGTTTTATTAGGGTATGATTTATCCATATTAAATTTCTCCAATATTTTCTGGATATAGACTGATTGATGCACTAAAATCCCTGAAGGACGGTGCTCAAGTTGTAAGCCTAGGCAACATTTGGTCTTACCCAAATCCTTCATCTCAAATCCACATGATGGAAATTGTATCTCAAATGATTGCATAATTATTTCTGTATCATGATTATATCAAAATAACCAATATACACAATCATGCTTAAGTATACACAATGTATGTTGCGATTTATATTTGGATTCAGAATATAAAGTCAAATGAGACTTATACGTCCGAATCTATCAAATTCATTTGATATGCCAATTATTGAATTTGGAAAACTTTATTTTCACACATACCATGGGGTATGCTATGCTGGGTCTCTGCGTGAAACCATATGCTACAAGCTCTCATTGTTCACCACCTTGCTTTTGAAAAGAAACTATGTGAGAGAAGATATTACTAAGGTAATACTTCTCATCATTGAACAAGAGCAATCTCCTTAATTGTCACCTTTTAGTTTGACCAAATTTGAGTGTGAAGACACTCTACGTAGGACTTTTGGTCTCGATCCAGTAAGGTAAAAAAGCAATCTTTGAGTATATGCCGCGACAATTCGTAGTCTTTAAATGATTGATTTGGTTCTTAAAATCAATATAGCATGTGAAAATGTTAACCCTTTTGGACTCCGAGTCATTTTTCATATGGAGTCAGGGTGTTCCAATGCCCCAGGATCAAAATTTAGGTGCACCATTGATCCGGGTGGATTTTGATCCAGGTTTTGGATGCTTATCCATTTTTGGGTGTCTACCAACTTGAGGTTGGCTTGAATTTACTTATTTGGAGGATATTGTCCTCGGTATCCTTGGACGCTTACTTGAAGCATTATCCTTAGGAGCGGCCGTACTTCTCTCCCTCTTCTTTAAAAGTGGGAGTTGAATGATTTTAATTGGTACCTCCATTCTTTTAGACGCATTATAAGTAGGATAAGAGGATTTTGTGACACCCTTATTATCAGTAAATGTTTCTAGCAGATTCTTTACAATATGATGCAAATATAAGATATTCCAAACGATTAGGTTTAGAATTTTTTGGTACGTGGATGTGAGGATTGCTCTTTTGATTCCTAGCATTCTTAATGTGGTATAAATCTCCCCCTAATGTTTGGAATTATCCTCAAATATGATCAACATACGGGCAATTTATAAATCCCCATGTAGAGTTACCTATTGGGATCCCTAATGCCCATTGGTATATTGGGGTGGTGATATGGGTATGTGAAAACATACTCGATGCGCAGATGAGAAATGTTTGGCTGTGGCCAAAGTTTCACGTACATACTGCAACGGAGGGAGTTGTATAAGTGCAGCTTGATGAATTTGAATTAACGATGTGGTGTGTAAGGCCGCATGAAAACAACTTAGTTCTGGTAAATTACAATTCTATTTTAATATGTCATGCAATTTGATTCTCAATAAGAGACTCAATAAAATCATTATTGGTATGGACATAAGGTACTTGATATATAGTACCCAAAAAACAAATTGCTCTATATAAAATGGATTTGATCCCGCATCCAGGATAATTTGCTTTAAATTAAAAATTTCGAGCAATGAGTTTAGTATAGTGATGGTTCTCATGACTAAGAGACACACCTAGGACTATATTATAGATGCATAAATGTGCATTACATAGTATCTTTATGGTCCATAAAATGATAAATAGAGTCACATGTATGTTCTTGAATTTCTTCAAAAAATGTAGTGGCTCATATTGATGCTATGACCAATAGAATTGACAATAATTCTCAAGTTATCTCTATAGTTGAATAATTAAGGTAAATGTGCCAAGTCTTGTTGACATCAAGAGAGAGAATTATTTGTACGCAATATTGGATACAGGTTATGTATATGTAGTCAAATCCAACTGAGGATATTTTGTTTAAGTATTGCCATATCCGTTGTTAAGAGAAAAATACTCATTTTAGTTGTCATCTTGGGGTTTCCATATGAAAACCACATTGACGGATATCTCTATAATTTTAATTGGGTACATTTTGGAATAAGAATACAACAATAGATTCATGATTATTATTTGAGTACCAATAGGGAGTATGATAGTAGCACGACCAAAGCCCACTATCATGACATCGCGTCAAGCGATTAACAAAATATTTTCTTATCTCTATGTAAGAGTTTAGGAATATTTTGCTTCCCTATGTATAGAGTTTGTGATGCAATTATCTACTAAGCAAAATTCCTCTTTGTATTTGGATCAACTCCCGTATAGGTCTATATATAGCATGAAGAATATAATGACATTCTTTGCAGATATATAGATTGCATACAAGTTAATTAATGGAATATCAAATGTGATGGCACATTATTGTGATATTCAATTGAAATTGATGACAACATTTTATATTACAACACGAAAATGGGGCGTAGATACTAGGTATGTTTGTAAATGGGAGACAAATTTTGGTCCCCAAAATGGATCAACCGAAGTAAATTCGATGATCGTGCTCTCCATGCTCATAAGACCCACTTATTAATTAAGTGTTTGGTTGCTACTTGGTTTCTTCATAAAACTTATTGTGAACAACTAGCCTTCCTGGTGGTGTCAGGTTGAAGATAGAAACATGCTTCATATCTTTATTGTTTAGCCGAATATTTATGTCCAATGAATTTGTAATACCGATCAATTAAATGTTTCAAGGTATGACATTTTCAAGTTGTGTGGTTGTAACATACATAATTGGGACAAAATATGGTTATGTCATATTTGGGAAATGCCTTAACCCTAAAGAATGCACGGGGCTGCTACTTTTTTTTGCATTAAATCTTACCATTAAAGTTTTATGGATGGCATTACTATATGGCATCGAACTTGTAATGATTCTGAAAATTCAATGTACTTCATATGATAGAGCATCACTATAATGCTAATGATGATTCCTCGATAAGAGTTTATCATACACTTAGACCTGAAGTAATGTAGGAATTAATCTAGAATATATTTGGTAAGTTGTGTGCTTTCGCGAAAACGCAATGTTGAGGGATATTCTGGAACAAAATAATTATATTCTCATGTGGACTTAAGATCCTAGAGATAAAGTTGTGGCCAATCATAGTTGGCATTGAGCAGAATGACTGCCTTGTGTTGTTTGTATCACTCATTGAAAGCTAGCCATATAGTGCTTCGATTTGCACCCATTGAGATCCACATACGTGTGACCTGGATGTATATGGTCCTTTATTTAAATAAAACTCCGTATTTAAATTGATCGTAAGTGGTGATGCTCTCTTATGAGGAGCATCAAATATTGCCATGAATCTATAGAACATCAAGTTTAACATTACGTCCATTGACCATGTTAGATTATGGTGACCATTAAGAGCAAGAGATCAAACTCTTTGCTGGCTATTATTCTAACAAGGTTTAAACCATAGATTTTCTAAATTTACGTTAAGGGTAAATTTAAAATTGCTATGGTGATGCTGTATTAATTAATGTAAAATAAATAGGAGATAAGATCTATTTCACTAATAGTGTAAACATCATTTATGCTAACACATTAGAGGTAGTCATTATAAAGATATAGACCTCTAATAATATGGACATAGTCTGTTGAACAGTAGATGTCAAGTGGTGTATGCAATTTGTATAAATACATTTTAAGGTAATCATCAAAAGATTGATGTAGACCTTAGTTAATCCGCAAACGAATTGGGTACGCACGTTGAGGATAGTCACTAAGTTGTGGACTTAGTGTAGATTCCGCAGTAGCAACTATGATGCTACTTTGTGTATGGCCAATAGGAATGCTGATTAATGGTAGTCATCTTGTGAAAAGATGTAGACCGTATGTTCCAATTTATGATGTTGGGTACGCACATTGAGGATAGTCACTAAGAATTTAGTGTAGATCCCACAGTAGCAACTATGACACTACCTTGTGTATGGCCAATATACAATGTGGAACATTTGTGTTAAACAAATAATGAGGTAATACACTTAATTGATTTTGCATTAAAAAATGTAAGCGCTATAAGCTTTAAATAAAGCATAAATGGGCTTAACATAAAATAAAAATTGCAAATAACAAAGTAGTTGCAATGAAAACGTCGTGATAGTAATACTACATGTTTATTGGGTTTGCCATTTTGGACAAACACTTTGAACAATACTAAAAAAATTCCATAAAACATAGGATCTGGAAAGCAAATTTGCAGTGGTAAATTCATCTGCAACAGTACATGTCATGATGCAATTCTTGATGACACATGGGTCTTAAAAATACTTATTTATAGGAGGTAAATATTATGCATCATAATGCATTTTAAATCTAAGGTGTAAAATGAGCATTTACGTGGGGTAAATATAGTACACCGCAGTATGTTAAAATCTGAGGGCTTAAACATAAATCTAAAATACATCAATAATCTATTAGGATTATCATGTAATTCATTGGAGAAGAAGGATTTTTATGCAAAAACGCACATCCTTCCTTTCCCAGGGAGACAACCATCCAGCGGACGGTCCCCGTCCATCCCGTCCCTTGACTGCCCGGACGAGATGCTGCCGGTCTGGATCAGACGCCGGGAGCGAGGGGCGAGCGCAGGACCGCCTCCGTCAGGCGCAGGGGCCGCGTGCGCGTCCAGGTGGAGGCGCTGGCCGCGGGCGTTTCCGGCAACACGCGGGGTCGCTAGCCTGATGCGTGGACACCGCCATAGGCAGTCAGGTGCGCTGGCCTTGCGGGCGGCCCCGCCGCTTGGCGCACAGACACCGCTGCCGGCCTGGTGGCACACGGGCACCGTGGCCAGCTTGTCGTGCGGCAACCGCCGTCCAGGAAAGTGCCGCCATCAATGGTGCCAAGCATCAGCAAGCACGCGGCGTGATTGTTGTTCCTCTGAAGATGTTCTTGCCTGTGTTTGATTTCCTACATGCCGTACATGATGAAGGAATCGAAGGGCAGTACATGCTGGCCTGTGTGGGAGACCGTCTCCGGGCCGCTGCGGGGCCGCCGGCCGCGACGCGAGGCCACGGCGCGGAGGCCACCGTCTGCAGGCGCTGGGGCCGCGCGCGTGCTCGGCCACGGGGGTCGCGACTGCAGGCGTGCCGGTTGCGAGGGCCGCCTGGGCACAGCAGGAAGCCGCCCGCCGCCGGGATGCTTCCTTGCAGTGGAGGCAGCGACGCCGGCGAACTCCTCTCCGGCATCCATTAATCCAGAGGCACATCGCACATGTTCCTACTCAAGGTAAGAACGCCGCAAATTGATGAAAATTAAATTGCATCTTACAGTCCTTTGATGCAGTCTGGACAGGAACCATCAGTTTATTTGGTTCCATTGATGACGACAAACGAACTCTTGTGGAGCAATCTCCGATGGAGAAGCCTGCCTATTCTCCCGCTCTGTGAATCCGTCGTCGCACCGTCGTTCGCCCAGTGTAGAGCGCTGATAACGTGTTAAAGCGTGAATGTAAACGAACAAGATTTAAGAAAAAACTGTTGCTTTCGTTGATCTCAGAAATATATTTATACAAGTGGAGAGGTGTCACGAAAAAATACGACTATTCTCAAAAGACATGTCATTTGAAACTAAAATTAACTGTCTAATCGTATCTATTAATCATGTGCTTGATGGATAAGATCACTCGTGAAGAGACGTCTGTTCGTATGTAGACATCCGTTCACGTATAGGTGTTGTTTCACAACAGAAAACTTCCTCAACTTTGGGCGCCCGCAACACGCCGCTTCAGCATGGGGTCTCATAGGAAGCCCGGGCTGGGCAGTTTGCTCAAATGACCAAATGAATGCATTTTCGTGTAAGATGGCCCAAGTCCTTTATTATGAATACAAATGTTACATCACCACTTGCAATCCTTTGGGGTGGATGTACAATGCCCTTTAGGCGCTTGAGCACACAGGACTTACAGTCAGTTACAACTACAATCAGGCAGAACCTAGTTTTAAGCATTATTATACAAAGCAAAACTATGTTGACTATCCAATAGCTCCATAATAATCGTCGAAACTTAACCAAAACAAAAGAAACTATAAAATGTACAAATGAAGAATCTTGCCCGTGCTGGTCAGCTTTGCCGTTCGGCAAATGCTGCAACATCCTAGAAATCAGAATCATCGTCAATGCCATTGTAGGCTTCTGCGCCATCGTCGTTATAGCCCCCATAGTTGTAACCATCATCAACTGTTTCACCATCAGCATTGTCCGGCCCAAACAGTGCGTCGAAGTCCATCTCTTCTTCCTTACTTGCGCTGCCAACTTCATCTTTAGTCTGCTCGCAGAATCAATCACCACCGGGTCAGAAAAATGTAGCATAATGGACGATTACAGAGTCAGTGTTGTTAGTTCATTTAGTTTTTCAAAATAAAATCAGCTACACAACTAAACATCTTTAAAAAAGTACTGCAGAATAGTTTTCGACTCGCGGCAGGATACAATTTGTAGATTCTAAATTTTAAGCATAAACAAACAGGCATACCTTGTACAATTCGCCAACAGCTCCCTCATTGATCTTTGAACCAAGTCCCTGTGAGAAGAGACGTTGAATTGAATTTCAGGCTTTCAGTTTGTTTGCACATCAGGTTCAGAATGTACATGCAGTGTTCAAAGGACAAGTTTATTTTGGATTGTATGTGACAGCACAAGTGAATACCTTCCGTTTCAGCATGTTGTATGTGGCTTCTGCCGGTGTTTCAGCAGGTGTCGAGCTCTTGGTGTCTTCATTACGTCTTCGTTTCTATGTTTTGAAACAGCCACGGATAATCATACGATTCAACTTAAAATGGTAAACAGGAAGTTTGATTGCCCAAAAGTGTTCCTTACTTTCTTCTTTCCCTCTTCCACAACAATCCCTCTAGCTGCCAATTCAGCTGCCAAAGCTTCCTTGGCTGCTTGTTCCTGTAAACATAAAAAAGCAGATAGTTGCATTCTCTAGTCAAGATGAAAAAATGCGACCATAGATGGAGTTACTTACCTCAAGGTATTCTTTGTTCATTTCCTCCCAGATAATCTTTTTATATTGTCTCTCTTCCTCATTGTGAAGGTACCAATCAACCTATCAAAATTGATAGATAGCATCGCAACAAATTGCAAAGGCTTGTTTGGTTATCACTACACCTCTAACGACTTGTGCAATGGAATAATCCTGAAAAATATGATAAAAAGGACTCATTGAGAAAGCACCTCTACATCGTCGATGTCAGAAAGGCTTTCTGGATCAGCATCGCCTTCACAATTTTCACCTAAGGATGTAAGATAGCACTCAGCTTTCAAAGAAGGATTCAAAACAGGAAAACTGAAATTACTGCAGCGTATGATGGGTTCAGGAAGTAACAAACCTCCCTCTTCAGGATCCTTGGGCGGCACAGAGTCATTTATGGGTTCCCCAGATCCAATTGTTGAAGATTTATGTCCGCTTAAACCCTGTTCGAAGTGTGTTCCCAGAGAAAAGAAAAAGGTGGGAAATAAGCACAAGAGTTGTAACATAAAAAGCTAATCGACGAGATAACATGTCACAATGCCACACATCACAAAATTCAGAAACAAAAATAGATTATGCACCATTTAATAATTATAGTGGCTAATCCTTCTATAATATTCATACAACGGTACTGTTGTTTGGGGTCTAAATGGTCCAACCCAGTGGTGCCAAATGAATTTGTTACCCGGGTACATATTTAATAGAAATCATGCCCTGGGCAGAAAATGGAAAGAAGTTCATAAAATAAAAGTGAAGTTTTATTGTTTTAAAATATACCAAAAAGATGTCACATGTAGAGGACGTGATAATACACAAACATGCAAAATTTCCAGATCAGACTTCATTTCTTTTGTGATACGTGAAATTGGGAAACAATGAAGAAAAAAGACAAACTCAGTGCAGGAAATTAGTTATACCGATTTTTGGCTCTTTATCCGTTTTTGCCAATTTCATATCTCATATTAGAAATTGAGTTCCCTCTTGACAATTTGTATAATTGTAGAACATCAGCTTTCCAGCCAGCATATGGTAACTTTATTTTAGGAATTGTTCTAAACTTCTACATACGTTTCATGGGGTGGCTTTCATGTACCCACCTAGTATTGTTACCCACCCGATAACACTTTCAAAGAATAAAAAAATTATTCTACAAAAAACAATGAAAAGATATTTTTTAACGGTAAAATTTTATTTATGTTGCTGACAGCAAATGGCAGAGCATGGCTTGAATGGAATAGATACAGCCCAACCCCTGGCCACCACTGAGGGCTGTGCCAATGCCAAGCACTACAACATTTCTTTTCTTTCTGCTAGAACATTTAGCTGTTCCTAGACGAGAAGAATGGTCCACCATTAAGGGGTAAGTAGAAAATGTTCTACCTGCAGGAAAAACAAGTTCCACACAGGGAAAGAATTGTTCGCGTCTTAATCATCACCTGGTCGCATAGGTGACAATCGACAGGTAACATCGCACATCTAATAAGGCAATAGGACACCTTTCGTGTCCAACCACGCCTTGTCCCCTAGGCGACGCCTTCTAATACAATTTGCCTATGAGCCTAGCACAAAAAACATATGCCCTCTGTTCCAAATTATAAGATGTTTTGCCTTTTCTAGATACATTATTTTTACTATGTATCTAGACATGCTGACATAGCATATATCTAAGTGCATGACAAAAGTTATGCATCTAGAAAAGCTGAAACGTCTTATAATTTAGAATGGAGGGAGTACTAAACAAAGATATCAACTTATGAAACTAACCTATATAGATTCTTATAGTAGGGAGGATGAAAACCTCTGTTTACGCAGGCTGCAAAGATTAGATTGAAACTACATATAAGAATAGCCAGTTTCATTGTCAACTAAATTTATTTTCGTATACAAACTTATAATAAGGATAAGTTTCCATAAATTCACACACAGATTATAATGTACCATTACTTTGCAGTGGGAGTGAACCCCGCCCCAACCCCACCCACCCACCCACCCACCACCCCACCTGCCCCAAAAGAGAAAAATAAACTTAGGCCATGCCAATCTGTATACTACCTTTCTAGGAGTTATGGTACTTTCAACCTCAGAATTCTGTGTGTCGCAAAGAGATTCTTCCAGCGCTGCCTCCTTAACTGCAGCAGCTTCTTCAGCCCTTTTAGCAGCTTCAAGTCTTTTCTTTTCAGCTCGTTGGAATGCTGGAGGGTCAGCACCACCTTCTAGTCCACCCGACAGTTTAGTGAACTGGGCAATCAGACAAAGTGTCAAAAGCAAATGTAGTCTAGTCTGCAAGTCAATGTGTTGTGCGCATTGTAGATAAGATCTACCTTATTGTAGCATTTTTCACAAAGTCCATGTGCAAAATGTTCAAAACCTTTATCCCTTTGATTCTTGTGTTTGCAAAGGATTTCTCCAGACTTGGGCGAATGTTTTGGAACAGGCTCTTCATTACATTCATCAGCTGTTGCCAGAAATTCTTCAATCTAACAAAGGGGCATGAAGATATAGGCATGCTCACATCTTAAGAGAACTGTTTAAAAAATGCACTGGTGATAACATACATTAAGAATGACAACAGAAGCAATATATTCTTCATAGGGGAACGCATTATTATTGCCTTCTAACTCCTTAAGGTTGGTACTTGTTTATTAGTGTATTACACATGATCAGGGTTGCAGATCCACAAGTGACCTATGTTCTGTAAAAGGTAGCAGGACAACTAATAACAATCCAGAAGCATTAAAAATTCAAATTGATGAAACGTGTTTCTGAAAGGGAACTAGCTAGGTACTGTCAATTCTGTGTGGGAACAGGTCTACAAATGGCCAGCCTAAAATTGTGAATCCACAGACAAAACACTGGTTCCTCGCAGTTACTTAGAAAGGACCAGTTTGGCCATGGATCTGAGTTTTTCCTGAAAATTGGAATTTCAAACCGTTATCATGAGATCTAATCCTAGCCATAAACAATACAACTCATGCTTTGCGGAGCAATTCAGTATGCTGCACAATAGCAGCTTACCAACAAATGACTCTGTTCCAATGAGAAAAACACTGTGTGAGTTAACACTTAGCAGTCAGTGTCCCAAGAATAAATTGCAGAATATCACAAGGAATTTCAATTAAATACTATAAATTGCAGGTTCAACAAATTTGGAAATTTTGTGGAAGAAAGAAACATACCGTTAAGCTGCCAGAATCCGTATTTTCGAACTCTATCAATCGCTTCGTTAGAGTGGCCTCACACACATGCACAACAGAGACCTGCAAACGTAAAACATAGTTCATGCCATCACTAAAACGTAAAACAAAAGGTCGTAGGTTGACAAAGGAGAATATACATAATATAGATTGTTGAATTAGTTCAAGATATCTCATGAGCATCTGGACTTACAATATCTGCCTTGGTGTAATTTTTCCCATGAGAGAGTGCAGCGATGTATAATGCTGCACCACATAATCCACTTGGCTTCCTCCCAGTCTGCAACATAGAGCAAGGCAGTAAGCCAGTCACAGCCTTGTGAAACAAAAATTATGGAAGAAAAACGAAAGAAGCCTGCCTGCATCCAATCTCTCTTCATGCTAGCTACAATGCGTAAAGCTGTGTCTGAGACAGCATTATCTCTTTTTCCCAGCAAACCTAAAAACAAAACCAATATATACTATAAAAAACTCGAAATCAGACCCATGTACATAAATAGGGGAACTACTTCTGGTCAATCCTCACATAAGGATCGCGTTAGTTGCAACAAACAGAATAGCACACGTAGAATGTTCTGATAAACATAGCCCATATGGCATTTAAATCACAACATTTGCACAAAAAACATGAGCAGTCTACAGATTGTTCAATGGCACAATTTTCAATTAGCCATGAGGTGATATTAGATGAAGATGAGTCTCAGATAGCACTAAACGGATTAGCCAAACACACAATGCCATTAATCAAAACCTGCAGATAACCACTCCTGTGCCAATCTGACGGCCATATACAATGCAGCATATAAATATTTGTGGATACCTCAACCCTTCGAACAATAGCACACACTACATACAGCAGATCCAACGAATGAAATATACAATGCAACATATGTCATCAGCTTACGGTGTGTAAAACGATGGATGAAAAGGCTGGGATCTACAAGTTTCTGAACAACTGGATGATGTGCGAGTAGCAAAACTTGGCAGAGCTGGAGAAAAACAGCACCTAGGACATAACTGAAAGAAAATCCAAATGAGCCCCTTCATTGAGTCATATAGAAGGCCAAAGAGTTGGTATACTCACACGCTTATTTGGAGATAGTCAGAGAAATCGATAAGAAGATAAGCTTTCTTACTTTGCCTGGCAAGAAAAGTTGGAGAAACCGAACATTAGTACTACAATATAGCTTGCTCAAAAAACAAACAAAATAAACTTTGCAACAGATACCAACAAAAGCATGAAGGCGAAAAGCAGTATTTTGAGGATTAAGAAAGATAAAATAAACTAAATTGTGAGTTCAGGAATAATTAATGAAACATAAGAGCTTTTTGAAGAAATAGATGATGGTATAAATGTTACTCATGCTCCATGGTGTATTAGGTAAATAAAAAATAAAAAGGACCCACAGGTCTAATACATCCTGGCTGCTAATAAGTCTGCAAAAGAAAATTTAGTAACCACAGATTACAGTGGTGGGGCATTCATTAGAAAGTATACTAAATGTGCAGGGAATACGTTTTGTTTAATATAACAAAGCCTCTTGAATGGGTTTGACATGTGTTTATATGGTATGGAAAAGCTTACTTGTGTAGCTGTGTTATAGTTTAGGCATTTAAAACATCCTAATCCTTATGGACCACTGAGAGGGACCTTCTCAAGGTCAAGTATTTACTTTTCTAATTAGAGGCTAGAAACACGAGGCATAAAGTCAAACGGCACTTAGTATACCTGCAGTCAATTAATTCAATTTTCAATCTGAGTATCTGACAAAAGAAACCTTTTGCAAGTTTAAAGAAGGATATGATAGAAATAGTAACTTGTAGGAGCTTTTCAAAAAAACAAAAGAGGAAGGTAATACATATAACATTAACTACTAGTAGTCCAACAAAAGTGGCCAGGGAGGGGGCAAGTCGCACAGTGAATGGACATATTCGAACTGAAGTTAGTAGAATAGGTTAAATGCTTCTGAAGTTCCAACAAAGAAAGTAGTGAACCTATAATTAGGTTTTAGCATACCTGCAGGCAATGTAAAGGCAAGCAGCTGCAACATGGGTTGTTCTACGGCCCCTGGTAAAATTGCGGTCAACAGCTAGCTGCGCTTCAGAACGAAGAAACATCAATATCGTAATGCTGCATTCCATTTAAACAACCTTACTACTTACTGATAACAGAAATACATACCTCATAGAAGCGATAAGCCTTGTTAACGATAGTTTCTCCACCGCTGACATTTAAGTTATTGACAATCTGTCTAATCTCATCCTTCCCTGGTAAAATAAAGCCAAAAAGATTTTAGAGTACCATGGAAAGTAAAATAAATAAGTGCCCTAAAAACCATACCTTTGTCTAAGGTTCTTTGATGAGAAATCGAATATCCAGACTCAATGCTTGCAAGAATATTTCCAGCTAAGCGACTCTGTGTAGCCCCAAAATATATCAAATCTCAGCAATTGGTAAACGAAAAAGAAAAACTCAAGGATTACAAAGCATGGAGATAAAACCAACCTGCCCTGTGTTATCCTTAACAAAAGTAGGCTCATCAGTGTATACCTCCTGATCAAGAACCTTCCCACATGTACCACAACATCTGATCATGAAACATGTCAGATTTCATATCAACAAACAAGCACAAGAGCTTCAATTGCGTTTATGAAACTTTGATGGACAACCATTAACAGAGTTGTAAATAAGGCCATCTTCATAACAATCATACTGACTGGTTTTGCAAGGTATCCCATAAGAATAATATAGAAATAACAGGGAGATCTCACATGTATCCTTTGTCAGGGTCCTTTATGGAGGGGCAGTAATCAGCGCAGTGAGTGCAGTAAATCATTGCAGAAGGAACTACACAGCCAGGGATGATCAGCTCATATCAATCTGTGAAATTTTGAATGGATTTTCTGTTCAGTTCCAAGCCTATATAAAACATCCATCATATACATTTACAAAATATATGCAGACCCAATAAAAAGAGACTTTTGGAACCATGTTTCCCATATCCCTTCCAGTTGTCTTCTTCAAAAACAAAGGTTTTTGGGGAGCCAATTTCTCTTCATCAATTCCCCAATTCACCATTTTTGCATGCAAGAAGACCAAACAGACATAGCAAAATGTTTTCTTTTTTTCAATTTAATCACTGCGCTCCTTCCTTCCTAGTAGAAACTTGTGCCGTCAAATTCTCGGTGGCACTCACAGACGGGGACGGGCTCAATACAGGACATGGGTGCGATAAATTTTGCTAAAAATCGAAGTTAGTGTGTATGAACCATGTATATACTACTTCTTTGGCCTCAGCGCCTCTTGTACATAAAACCGTTTTCTCCTCTTAATTCAAAAGCAGAGCTCCTGCTATTACATTCAAAAACATGTATAACTAGTAACTGGGTCATTTCCGGATGCAATATAGCTTGGGTTGGTCGGTTCCACACAGCAGGAAGGAAAGGAAAAGGGCGACGTACCTAGTGGACGATTGACACCGATCGCCGGTCGCCGCCTCTGCTGCTGGCGAGGAATAGGAACGTGAGCCACTCCAGATCGGATCGAGAGGGAAGGAGAGACAGAGGATAGCTTGGGGCGTCGTCTTCGTCGCGAGGACAGGGACGACCGACAGGTGAGGAGAGGGCGGCGGAACCGCGGAGTGGCTGGGAGATGGCCGCGGGAGGCGGGGAGTGGTCGAGCAGGTTAGCGCGAGCTCCGGCGAGAGCACGAATCCAGTGAGGGCGGCGCAACCTCCGGCGAGGGCTCTGAAGAGGGCGCCGAATCCAGTGAGGGCTCCGGCGAGGGCGCGAGCTCTAGCGAGGGCTCGGACGCCGAATCCGGTGAGGGTGAGGGCCGCGCGAACTCCGGCCACCGGCTTGGGAGTAGCAGATCGGCGTGGCAGGCGAGACCGAGCGGGGGCGGAGGCGCGCAGAGGCGACCCGGGGCGGCGGCGACGGCTCCTTCAGTCGTTGGCTCGTTGCTACTCGGAGCAGCGTCTCACACCGATGGATCCTCGCCTCGCATCCTCGGCGAAGGGTTTTTGGTTTTCCTAATAATAACTAGGGTAGCCCTTATTTTCTGATTTTTCTTTTCGTCCGTTTTCAACGCAAAGTCGCGAACAAAAGAGAAGACAAGATAACGAATTTTAAGTAAGGTCGATTGGCGGTCCTCGAAACTTGTTTAGACGTGTCATCTTAGTTTTAAAATTGGCTGTTTATATCATTAAACTTGTTTATATGTGTTATTTTGGTCTATAAACTCATAAATAGTCCATATCTAAGTGTTCAAACTTGTTCGATTATACTGTCCCGGTACCTAAACTCGTAAATCACCCGTTCAGATCCAAAATATATGTTTAGGCCTCAAAGTCAATATAAATGGGTATAGACCAGTGTCCATATACAACGACATCTCTATGGGTTCGATGGTCTAACATCTCCGGCCATATCGATCTCAGCTATGTTGCTAGGACGAAGAGAGATAGCATACCACGTGAAGCGATCTGATTTCCGCGAATGGAAATCCACAGAGTCGAAGTGTAATAAGACCGTTGTAGATTATATTACCCAAATTTCAGTCAAATATCACATCCATACAACGATAATATCATAGTACAAATAGTGCGGAATTACATAAATTATTACATCGCAGCATTTGCGGAATTCAAAAGTAGCATTCATTCAGAACAGCTTGAAGATAAGATCGTCAAACTCGAGCGTAGGAACGAACCCCTCAACCGTCAAACTCCTCAGAGCTATACTCCTCAGCAGAACCTGTGTGCCAAAATTTATCAGTACGATTTGTACTGGCCACTCCCACCCTATGAGCATTGCTTTGTGGAAATTAGATGCAAGTTGGATATAATCAAAAGGAACCTATGAGGCTGGGGTTTCCTATGTATTAGCATTTCAAGTATATAATAACAGTTGGTCAAGTTTTAACACTATTTCCACACCAATTCCACCCCATTACTATTCCAGAGCCAGGTTTCGATCTTGGGATCGATATACCACCATCTCCACATCATCACCACATCACAACCATACCATCGCTCAGTCGACAGGCTAACTCCCTCTCGGCACTGTCTCATGGCCCGTAGCCCCTGGCTACGTCCAAACACTCACTCCTAGGGGGAGAAGAGAATGACTCATCTCACTATCTAGTTTAAGCGAAACCCAGGAAAGGTCCATAGCCGACAAGTCGGCATATGTATCGATCGATCAACCATACACTCTACAGAGGTTTTACATAACCACAAGATCCGCCTTCCTCGCTGACCGTCGTCAACTGGGCTGATTTCGGCCGCTTGCTAGCCTAGGATAATGGCACTCTACCATTTAGCCCTGGTACACCCCAAGTCTGGTCTGGGGTGGCTGAAACTGTGAGTCATGAACCGGGTCCACAAGGTCTCCATGAAGTCTCGGAATGGTGTGGGGGATCCTCCGCGCCCCGTACCTCCCTCACACTGTCCGCTATCAACCTAGCAGTAGTGGCAATACCTTACCAAGTAGTCCGGCCGTCCCGCACCATATAGGGCGAGTGGTACGTAAGGCTTCCCGGTGAATCTGAGTCCTAGTAAGTCCTTAGGGATGACCAAGCCAGAATGTCTTCATTAGGGTTTCCATTTACCGTGCCACCACAGCACCTCCACCCCTGGGCTCCTCCCATCACAGGTTCACACCCAGGGCCACCTCATATACCATTTACCCACCACAGGTATCCATTCTAGGGGTGCCCAGGTAGCACCCCACGGCAAGACTTGCCCCAGGCTCGTCGTATACTCCAACTTGGTCGACACAACCCTCACCCTCCAAGCACCCAAATCACACACGTAACACTCTCCCCATAGTCCAGATAACATCAGTTTTCCACCACGCCTCAATGTAGTGGAAGCGTAGTAGAAGTAATAAGCTACGAAATATAGTAGCGAGCGTGTGACTAGCCTAACAGTAGGGTGAGCAGGGGTAAGGTTGCGTCAAGGTAAAGGCCATCAAGAAAGCATACTACCATACAAGTCCTACCATAGTGTGATCATGACAATAAAGTAAGCACTAGCATTTCTATTTTAGCCATGCGTAATAGGTGCTACGAGATTGGGTGGGATGTGGCACCTTTAGTGTAGTCGTCTCCGTACTCCTCACGGTACTCACGATCCTCATCCGTTCGGTTCTCCTCCGAGTCTGCAAACGACCGCATTATAGTCGTGTTAGCGACGTCTATAGAACAGCACAAAGAAGCAATGAAAATTCAAAAGAGCCAAATGCACTCAAACATGGGTTCATTACGTAGAGCTCGATTTTAGATGAATTTTGGTCCTGGTTTCATATTTTTCTGAGGCCGTATGAATTAGTTATGATTTTCCGAAGATTAAATCATCTCTGAAAATGGAAAAAGACTGAATTAATCCTGGGCTGACACGTGTCACGCTGTGACTGGTCCACGTGGCATGTAGGGACACAGCTGGTGTGGTGGTCGGAGAGGTCACCGAAGTGGTCGGAGAGCTCGCCGACGTGGTCGGTGAGATCGCTGAGGTGGTCGGAGTGGTCGCCGAAGTGGTCGGTGGGCTTGCCGAGGTGGTCGGAGAGATCGCGGGGGTGGTCGGAGTGGTCGCCGAAGTGGTCGGTGGGCTTGCCGAAGTGGTCGAAGAGATTGCCGAAGTCCCCGACGCTGGCGTGGTCTCTTCATCGGCATGACGTCAGCATGGCGCCATCCGAGCTAAACCGCGGCTGACAGGTGGGTCCAGGGTCAAATGGTGTCTGACGGGTGAGGCGCGGTTCATGGTGAACCCGCCTGCATTGGTCCATAGATCGCGGAGCTGGTCTATGAAGGACTTGGTCCACTTACTCCTTCCCAGTGTTCGTTTCACGTGCACCAAGTGCTCGGACGTGTGGCCGGCGAGGGAAAAAAATCCCAATCTTCTTCCCCATCGTGCTCCCGCCGGTGGTGAGCTCACCGATGAGCCCCTCCAGCGGCGTGGGTGTGCAATTAAGGTGGGCAAAAGCTTGGCCATGCCTTAGCGGGTGTCCCGATGAAGTTAACGTGGTGGTCGAGCGGCTCCAGTTGGCTGGCCGCGGTGAACGGCGGCGTGGGTTCGTCGGCGTGCATGGACAAGCTGTAGTGGTAGCGAGAGCCCAGTTGGAGGAGTGTGTGAGCTCCATGGTGCTTCTACAACCATGGCGAGCAGGTCGAAGGAGCTCCGGGAGCTCTCAATGCCTCCGACCACAGTGGTTGGGCCATAGCGGAGGCGGTGGCGCTCCGACGAGGTGCGGTGCAGCAACGTAGGGCTCCGGTGGGCTTCACCCTCGGCTAAGGTGAGCGCGGTGTGTCTCTCATCATGGCGGAGCCAGTCAGGGTGTCAGCGTCGCCTTTACCGCGACGTAGAAGACGCGGTGGTCTCGCCATGGTTGTGCTCTAGCCATGGTGAGCGCGTGCGAGGCGTGCGAGGCGTTTGCATGGCATAAGCAGAGCGCTCGGCGCTGGCGTTCCCAAGCAGAGGGCTCGACGTCGCCCCCTTTCTTCCCTTTGCTTTGCGTTTCCGTTTGACTCAACAAGAGGGTCGTGGTGGTCCTTCTATGCTACCGGTTGGCTAAGCCGGAGCAAGAGCTCGTGCTCCGACGTAGTCTGTTCATGGCGTCCAAGAGGCTAGGAGTGGTTGTGCCAGTGTTCCCGAGCTCCTAGGGGTCGGTGAGGCCAGACCTTGGGCTGGTGCGCGTGCGGTGCGTGTGCAGCATGTCCAGGAGCGGGAATGCTTCGCCTCTGCGTTTCCCAGGTGCGGGAATGCGGTGGCGTTCATGGCGAGTACGGCTAGCGCGGTGAGCGGCGAACGATGTGGCTCACTGTAGGACTCATGGCGGT